GTCCAGATTTCAAAAACTGAAATATGTAATGCGGTGCATTACATTGGATGAATATCCTTCTGATAACTTTCTACCTGTTTTTTGTGGTGGGATGTAGTTCGTCACATAAAGAATCACTTCAGATTTTGTTTTTTATTTCTTCCATCTATCACATTCCCATGTGAGATGTTTGCAGGACGTAGCTTCAATCAATCAGATCCCTTCATGTTCCCCACCTAGCTGACGTGTTTGTCTTGGCATTTATCATCGCTCAGTGTTTGAGCTGTCGTTTTAAAAACAAGCTTCTCCCCACATCTGTGGAAGAGCCTTTGAAGACTAATCAGGGATGTGCTAAAACTGTGGGAACAGCCTGAATACCAATGAAGGGTAAACACATAAATGAGTTGGAAATCAGGCCCCGTAACATGTAGTAGAAGTTTGGTTTGTTCTCGTGCTCTGTAGCCAAAGCCACGCGATAGCAGTGAGCAGACAAGAACATTTCGCACACAGGAGAGGGGAAGCAGGAGGCTTTTCTAGAGCACTTATGTTGGGTCGCAAACAGCCTAAATGGAAGTGAGCCCTAGAGGGAATCCTGCTCTGAAGGTCCAAGCCAAGGATGATGTCATCATTGAGATTGTTCGGAGTCAATTACGCTAAAATTTAAGTTTCAGCGGCACTCTTCAATTACAGGAGATGGTGAGCGGGCGGGAGCGCCCGCGCTGGATTGATTTGCTGTGAGTGGACGTCTTGGCAAAGGCCATCGGAGACATGAAACTGGAGTACAGGACCTGCTGGCTCTTTCCAGGGGTTTTGTCACCGGTTTTATCGGTGGTCCAGCTGAAGCCTCTTACCAAGCCATTGTTTTCGTCTTGATTATATTCATTATAAGTGCATTTCCGACTTAAAAATTTTCATTACTTTGGTGACTTGTTGCCATTATTAGCATGTTCTAAGGAGCATCCAGCATAATATAATATTGTCTCAGTACAAAGAAGTCTGGTGAAAACTTAGCATATTATTACCAGTTTTTGCTTGTGAAGCTGTCCATAATTTGCATATATATAACTATATGTTTTCCAGTAGCTTAAGTACCTTTGCACCTGCAAACTGGTCCTAAAAATTCTCATATTGGACCAATTCACAAGATCACACTCAAACAGGTGGTAGAAATGTTTTTTTTCTTCTTTCAAAATATGCTCCAGTCAGCTATATAGTAAGTAGTGCAGGTTCTCTAGCTCAGCTGTTATGTTTAACAGTTGTGAAATTGTGAGCTTTATAGTTGTTCAAGAAGAAGAAATTAGACAAATTGTGTTCTTCCTCCAACATTACTTAGTTCTAATGTTTTATCCATTAGTGTCTTGCTTTATGAGCGTAGAAGTTTCAATGGAAAGATCTTTGGTATTCTGCTTGTCCTCTGCTTCTGTTACTTTATGCAGAAATAAATGTTTATCCAGTAGCTCGTTCCCCTCTCAGTCTTTGAATTAATCTTTTTCTCTCTATATTGAGATTTTCTTTTTCTTATTGTGCCATTAATTTTTCCTTCTTCGTAACCATTTAAAACAAATCTGCTTGGAGCCTTTCGTTTTGTTTGTACCTAAATGCCACATCCATCACTTTCTCCTCTTAATTTCTATCTTTGTCTCTCTTCTCCTCTGCTTGCCACAGCTTTTTCCTGACCGCTTGTCACTGGCCTGTTCCTCATGGAGGCCAATTACCCACCAATGCTTGTGAGTGGGATGCTGTATGGAACCAAAGACTGATTGTAATTGCACACAATTTGGGTGACCCTTAAACAAACGTTTAGATGGTGTGAATCCCTTCTTAGCTGCATGGTGGACATGATCTTCCTTTGCTTTGTTCTCTGAAATCCACCTGGGCTCTAGTATGAAAAGTCGCACAGAGATTTTGCTCCCGGATCAGGCAGCAGTGAAGTCTTTGTTAGCAGCTTGCTGCAGGGTAGGTTTATGTGTGCTTTCATGTCGTCACCCCCCCCCCCCCCCCCCCCCCCCCACCCTCTTCCTGCTGCCTCACATTTTTATGATCCGTCCTCCACAGCCCTTCAGTGCATCTCGCTGACATTCCGGTGACCTCTCCAAGCTTTGCATAATCATGGTTGCCACCGTTCCCCGGTACATCCTCTCCGAAACTTCCATACATCCGCTCCATTCGATCCCGTTTATCTCTCCTGGCTGTAGTTCCTCCCTTCACACTGGTCTGCCAGTTACCTGTCTCGTTTAATAGCCGGCAATGACGGCGTGCGAGTCGGCGGATGTATCGCGCTCGACGGAGGCTCCAGCTGGCATTTGCGGAGAAGCCGTTTTGCGTATCGATTTGGAGCGTAGCCTTTATGAAGTCCACCAAGAGCTCTTATGGAAACAATTAAAATGATGCAAAAATATAAAATGAAGATCGATGGCAAATGCCAGTCGGCATGAGCAAAGTCTATCTGTTGAATCAGGCTGCTGAACGACACGCTGTGGAGTATCATGGAGGGAGGGAGATGGTCTCGTCAAAACCACCCTGCTTAACTTGTAAGGCTCCCATAGGGCATCACATTAATTATTATTACAAATAATGGAAGATATTAATAATTTATCAAACCAAGAAAACCAGTGTGGGGAGGGGATTATTTCATTCTTAGTGTCTATTTTTTAGCATCCATTTTTTTTGCTGGCTAACAGAATGAGATATTGAGATACTATTTTAATGAGATGTTATTTGAAAAATAGGATTTAGAAAGGATTTAGAATTGAAATGAATAATAACAAATTAATACTTCATCAGTTGCTCCAGTGCACTGTGTCTGTAATTTAGCACGTTTCGTTCAGTTGATGTATTCACCAGGATGTTGAGTGGTCGATACCTGGGTAGAGTTGCTTTTATTTTTAATTGGAGAATGAGTCTTTTGCAGACGTGATGGAACTATGCAAATCTCCATAACACTGCACCGCAGCAGGTGTTCGTTTTTGCACATTGATTTGGGAAGTTTCTTTCTGTTTACTCGGAAAAGCAACAGGCAAGTAGTAGCTCCTAGTGTCAACGCGCAGAGCCATTGGCCGGCGTCCCCCCGACGCGAGGCGCCTCTCTGCGGCGAGGGTTTGCGAGGCAGACAGTGGCATGGGGGGGGTGGGTGACACTGCACCTGCCCCGGGGCGATGCGCTCGCCACCCCCGTCCGCAGGGCGTGCTGCGGGTCGGCTTCCGCCTCTTTACAGGAGAATGCAGAAGAGAACTGCTGTCTCCTCAGGGCTGATTATCGAGCGGCTTTGAGGTGCGGGAGGCACCTGTGCCGATAGCTGTCAGTCACCACAGGTTGGCTTTATCCGTCTGTGTCCATGTTGGTATTCAGGGTTTGGCCACACGGTCAGACAGTTATAGTGGGAAAGACATGTGACCAGACAGGGGAAAAAAAGGGCAACTGGTTCTGTGTGCTGTGAAATGGAGACTGACTGGGGGATTGAAACTGGAACCACAGCTGAATGCATTTGTTTCCCACTTAGTTTCACTTAGTTTGCCTGTCAGTTTGGCCAAAAAAAAATCAGGTTCAGGTGATTCAGTATATTTACTGTAGCAGCTCTCATAAGAGGTATTCTAGGGTACTAATTCAGAGCAAGACTGCGGGCTGTTGGTACTCGGCCATCCCCTTTAACATCTGTCTACAAAGGGTGCTGATTCTCTGGAAGCATAATCAACGCCTGCCTAATCCCAGTAGCCTACATTGCATTGTGAAAGTACAAGAACTTTTAAACCTTGTGGAGTCTCTTGATGAAACTTCTTCATTTTATGGGCACAGAGATAAGAGGACCAAGCAGGTGACCACCTCACACAGTGACACCGGCACAGAGATCAAAGTCGGTGGCTAGAACCTGGAATTAGTCAAAGCTGAGAAATAGCTGGGGTCAGTTGTCAGAGATGAAGGCTCCAAGCCAGAGATCCTTTCAAGAACCTCACAAACGATAACGGTGCTGTCAAGACTGAAACCAATTTGGAATGACAAAGAAAAAAACATTTCTGTCAGGTCTCAAGTCGGGTTGAAGTGCATCCTGGTCATCTCCATATTTCTATATGTATGCAAAGTCTGGGCTCTGACAGGGCTCACAAAAAGGGCTCTGAAAATGAGATGTTTTGGGAGAATGTTCCACATCTCTTACCAAAATCATATTACCAATGAGGAGGTGCACAGAAGAGAGGACTGTATAAAGAGCACCTGTCAGCCATTAAAAGGCATAAACTAATGTGCCCGCATCTCGCGGTCGTCAGCAAAACCCGCTTGCGGGGGACCGAGAGAGGGGAAAGGAAGCGATCAGGAAGACGCCATAAAAAGTGGGCAAGACTGGATTTCATTTACGGCCGAGGATACAGCCAGGCGGTGCTCGCTGGCGAGATCATCAGGGATGCCCCAGTGACACCGGCAGCTTATGGAATGAGGATGAACTGACACGGGCACTCTAGGTGCAGGTTAGCCTGATAAGTTCTGCCTTTTCACCGTAGGAAAAGATAAACGAGAGAACATGGATTGAAAAGACCAAGTGTACCAAAGTGTTGGAGCCACAGATGCTCCAGTCAGCTGTACATGAAGAATTACTAGGAATCACTAGACGTGTGAACGGTTGTTTTTTTTTTTTAATGCATTTATGTTTATCTACTTGATTTTTATTTTCCTTTCATTAAGTCTCTGGCAGACTGGGTGAAAGGTTTGACCCTGAGGTTTGTGGTATTGTGGTTAGTCTATCACTATTAATGCCTGTATGTTTTCAGTAAAAAGCGATGGAGGATTGACTGTCTGTTTCCTATCTGGCTCATTGTTGGGTGAGCTTGTGTGTGTGCGTGTGTGTGGGCATGCCTGTGGCGGTGTGCGTGTGGGGCGTTAAGCTTACCAATATATATACGTTAGTAGTTATAAAGCGAAGGAATGCATTCAGTACATGGCGTCCCTTGAGAAAATCCACTCCATCAAACAGCTGCCTTGTCGACTTTTGCCGGCTCTGCCGTCAGTGTCTCATTCCGTCTCTCCCGTTTCAGATGAACACGGACATTTGAAAATATACCTGCCCAAGAAGCTGCTGGAATGTCTGCCGAAATGTTCCTCGCTGCCAAAGGAGCGCCACCGGTGGAACACCAATGAGGTAGGGGGCGCTTTTCGGCGCTGCGTGGTCGGGGCCACCAGTGGGCACTGTCAGCTGAGCCACAAAGGCAGCCCGTCCACGTGACACCTCCTCTGAGGTCAGGGGAGGGTGCTGGGAGCCCCATTCGAGCCCCGCCTCAGCACACATGTCTGTCTCTTCTGCAAGAGTCCTGGGTTCGTTGCCTATTCCCCCAGTGGGGTGGGGGACACTTTCATGCTCCTAAATCCCAAAGAAAGCCACAGAGATCCAGTATACAGTGAAAACCTCATCTATCCAGATCTATCCATTTGCAGCAGAATGCTGACAAAGAATTCATTACTCGGTGGAAATACCACGATCAAATATCCTTTATCCTTTATTCCCTTAAGGTCGATTTGGGAGATATTTCAGTTTTTGTTTGTTAGTGAGTGCGAGTAATAAATCACTTTGTGGTCCCAGGAGGTGACTGGTTAACCTGCCATTTCATAACTCGAGCGAATGTTCCCTTCAGAAAAAATATACATGTATCAAGGCCACATAGCGGAATTAGGAGCTAACCACCAAAGAGGGATTTTAGCCGTTAAATAAAATGGTGCAGCATTGGCTTGCATCTGTGGAAGAAGATTTCTCACAGTGCCTCAGCAAGGGATAAATGTGGAAATGGGTTTATTGGTGATTTAAGGGTAACTTACCTATTTATAAAGTCTGCGGTTAGCTCTTGGGCATCTATTACATTGTATGAGCAGTGTAAACAGGGCATTACACCTAAGTATAAGCCAATAGATTCCAACAGCTCTAGCATCTTGCATAAATAGCTTTTTTTGTAGCTTTTCCCCCTGTATGTGTCATCTTATACAAAGAAGAAGCTTTGTTTCAGCCGTCCTTGACCTGTAGGCTGACACTTTAGAATGAGTCCATTTCTTTGTTTCATTTCACCCACTTTATCATTTAATGGAAATGAGACGATGGCCCTTGATCCCCACATTTTATTTGTCATTCACGTTCAGTCTGTTATGCGGTGTAGCACATTCCACGTGGGAGCGGCAAGCGATTGGAACTAAATATTATTTAGCTGCTTAAAGCTGCAGGGATTTTAAATGATTGCTATTGCGAGGTTTCTCCAAGGAAATTCATGAGCCTCTAGAAAAAGGCACTGCATTTTTAATACGAGCATTCGCAATAAAGCACACAAAGTCTCAGCACATTAACTGGCAGGCAACAGTATCATCAGAGGACGGGAAACAAAGTAAGCACCGGCCGTCTTTGTAATTCCTAACTTCTTAGCGGCGTTCCTTCCTCTTTTAATTAATAACAACCTCCTCTGAAACTTATTAAAGGGGAGGAACTTTAAAGCTGGAGGACTGTCACAAATCCCTTTAAGAGGGCCGGGGGGAAATAAAAAATAGCGGGTGCATCCCACATCATAAGTCACTTGTCACACTTGTGTTGGTTACCCCCTGCCGAAACCGAGGAATGACAAATTTGGAATGTCCCGCTTCAATGGTACGTCTATGGTTTGTTGTTGATTCCCCCTCTTTGATCTCAGCGTCAGAAAGTTTGTATGTAGTGACCAGCTTTCTGTGGAGAACATAGTTACCAAAAAACATGGTAACATAGTTACCAAAAAAGAGCCTTCAAACAGAGGTTTTTGCTGATAGTTTCTTCCACTTGTTATATAGAAACGTTTTTTTTTAATGGGTGTTTGATGTATTTTCCTTTTTACTGGTTTTGAACATAGATGTGCGTAGACGGCGGGTCACATTGGCGGTGGGATTCCGTGCAAAGCAGACATTTTCAGCAGCCAATAAAGGGATTGTTTAACCACGCGGCACCTTTGTTCACAGATTAACCTTCAAGCAGCAGTTGCCGGGATGCGGGTCCCTGGGGGCGGATGGGGGAACGTGGCCTCGCCCCTGACACTTGGGCCGTTTTCTGTTTGCCACAACACCTCCGTGACTCACGGGGAACGGATGAGAAGGGCAGCGGGCAGCTTGCTCTGCTGCCGCATGCTGGAGCGTTTGAGCGTTTCCCATCTATTTACATTTACTGACTGAAAAATGATACATGAATACTGAATTCATGCATCGTAGTGTTGACTATGGGTCGACTCGGATCTGTGGTGGCTTAAAGTCAAGGGAGATAATGTGTAGTCAGGAAGTGTTCGAAGGCGGGAACACTTTTTTTTCTTTTTTGAAAAATCAAACATTATAGCTCATTTGTTAATTTTGTTTGGAATCTAAATGGTAATTGTCAGATGACTTTCTGCAGCGCAGTCAAATATGTGATACCTTTGCGGAATCCCAAATAGATTTTGGAATTCATACTCGCATGAGATTTAAGCATAACATAAGGATGAAGCCTGCTGTCGTGCATGTGCATAAAGTAGCCTATTTACGCTGATTCGGAAAGTTCCCGATCTCGCATTTTAATAATCGCATCAGCGACGGAAACGTGTTTCCTACCGAGCCATGCCTGATGGCAAAATGAGAGAGGGGTCGTCGGAAGGCCACAGGTTTGCACAAAGGCGAAGAAAGCATGGCTGAGCAGGACCATTCACCAGAGTACGTCAACGGCGGACGGTGGCATGGGTGGTAGCGAAGTGGCAGTCCCTGCTCACGTGGCCGGGATTCTGACGCTCCCGAGTCACTCCAGATGAGCGGCAGAGGGCGAGCACCGCTGATGGCAATCTTTTAATGTGTTCCTCATTCTCCCAATGCCCTTGTGTGCATTCACAGGCAGAAGTGTGCACAGGAATACATCTCGAGCGTTTGCTGGAAAATGACACAAGCCGATGTGACGAAAATGCACGTGCTGGCGGGGGCTGGAGGCGGCATGACTGCAGCTCAGAGCTGCTCCGACACATGCAGACCGCATGCAGGCCGCTCTGTCGCATGCAGGCCGCTCTGTCGCATGCAGGCCGCTCTGTCGCATGCAGGCCGCTCTGTCGCATGCCGGCCCCTCTGTCGCATGCCGGCCCCTCTGTCGCATGCAGGCCCTGGCGCACAGATTTTTAGATGATCTAAGGCAGATTAGAATGAAATCGTCGTCATGAGCTGATCATTTATTTAGTAGACACCACTGGAACTATTCAGGTTTGAGTTCTCAACACTGAAGAAATGACAGTATGTTAAAAAAGCATTATTAAAAGAGATTTTCTTTGAATATCTTTTTTAACACATCCACAGCATGGTAACAGTCGTGGCTTCTTTGATTAATTTGAAGTGTTTGGGTGGCTGTGCGCAACGTTACCTTTGAGATTAGATGAAAACAAGAGCAGATATATGCCTGTCTGTTTCCTCGTAGTTGACATAGGTGGCAGACAGGCTTACGGCGCTACCTTTGTTGCGCGTCCGTGAGCGTGAGGTGTGTGTACGATAAACCAAGGCACAGATCCCTTCAGGAGGCCGCTGCCCCAGATTCTTCTCAGGTCAAAAGCAGCGGGGTCTATCTCTTCAACGTGCTTTGGCTAAGGTGACCTTTGCAATTTGCTGAGCATTTACTTTGAGATTTAACTCTCTTTTTTTCCAGGAAGCAAACAACACGGGGGTAACTTTAATCTGGGGGGTGGTCAAAGCTTCAGAGCTAAAGGCAACAACCTCCAGCCAAACCCCAACTTCACTGTTCGCCTTTTTTTTCCAGACGGTTACATATTTTTTTACAAGGTCTCTCTCACACTATATTTTCATTTCAACACGGAAAAGCAAAAAAGTTGGCGAGAAATAAAACGCAAAAGAAAAAAAAATGCAATAAATTTCTGCCTTGACTAGAAAGCGGCGATTAGAGACTTTCTGGCGTTTTGAAGTTGCCCGTCGGGGCTGTGCTGATTGTACTGGTCCTTCCACCTCTGTAGTTTGGGCCAGCCGGGCATTTGCAGTCTCCTCTGCTCTGCCTGCACTGTGTGCTCATACCGGGCTCCGCTCCATCTTCCCCGCGGCTGCCGGAGCGCACGGCTCCCACTGACGCACTCCTCTTCCGTCATTCACTTCAGAGCCTAATAAGTAATCATTTATAATTACTTTTCTTTTGCTTCCCTAGAATATATTGAATTCATGGGATTTGGCACCTCCCTTAGAGGAGCGACTGTCCCATAATGCCATGGGGCCAGGCCCTCTGCCGTTTGCAGCGTTCCCATAATATGAAGCGTTTTTCTCTGAGATTTGGTCTCAGACTAAAAATCCAATGGAATCATTGAAATAAAGAGCATGGTAATGGTTGACATTCAATTCCTAATCAATAGGAGCCCCTAAGTTTGCCCAGGCTGCATGGAGGTGCCTGAGTTAATGTGATGACCTGACTAAAGAGTCACTATCGCTGCTCTCTACCTGCTCGGTAGCTCGGTGCCATATTGGTAACAAGGCTGCCACATCAGGGCCTGGTTGTTCCACTGTCCAGTGAAGAGCAGCCCAATAAGATGAAAGCCTGCAGACATGAACACACCTTGCTCACAGGACCAGCCCACTGTTTAGTGAAAGACTGAAAGTCCATGAGCCTTGGCCTTTACAACGCTCGCCCTGACCTCTGACACAGGTCAGGGAGGTCAGAGGTCAGGACAGAGAGCTAGCTTCCTGTCTGGGCACCATCAATGAGAGTATTGACAGTTAGCTGAATCTTAAACTCAGGGGACAGATGCTGGCCGCCACAGGCATGCGCTGGTCATGTGTTGATATGGGTTAGTTTACTGCCCCATCATGCCTTGCGGTTCTGATCCAAGACGGCCGGGTCAATGGGGTAGAGCAGGTAGTACCTTCCACAATATTTTGACATTATATTATGAAACCAGTAACTTTGAAATAACTAATTACTAAAATTTTATTGCCGTTTAAAACGCATTTTCTGTCTTCATTGGAAAAAATCACTCTTGTAATATTGTAAAATGCATTATATTCTTACCCCTGTTTTTGGCCACTAGCCACCACTGGGTTAGATTGGTAATGTCAAACTAGTGAAGTGATTCCAAGAATTAAATGTGTGGAATATTAATTAACATGTCATCTCTCTAGTTATTCTATTCTTTAAGGTAA